AAAAAAAAAAAAAAAACGAGGAGGATTGGCAGATGTTAGCAAGAAAGGAAAAGCCCTTAAGGGTGACTTTGAAACCTATTTTGTGTCCTCATTTTTCTTTTTCTCTCTTTCCCTTTCTCTCATCATCATTCTTCTATTTCGCTACTCATTTCCTTCACTTGCTAGAAGACAACCTTTAGATATACATTTCCAGTTTGCCCCAATGGTTCTGATTCCAAATATTCTGTAACTTTGTCTCTGTAAATAAACCCCAAATTGTCAAGGAAGATATCCACAAAAATATTGGATTAAAGAAAAATCTCCTGAAGATGTAAAAATAACATAGCAACATCTATCGGGGTCCCAGCATGCCCCAAGTATTGTGCTAAATGCTTTTTTACATTAGCTGATTCATTCTTACAAAAAGGACTACTTCTAGCTTCATTTTAGAGAGACAGAAACTAAGACACAGAAACAAGTTACTTGCCTAAAGTCATACTGCTGGTAATTAGCCAACACCGAACTTCAAACCTAGGTCTCTGACTTGCAGCTTCCCCACCGGCCCATGAAAAGCCTCAAGCTCAGAGAAGGCTCGCCACATCTGGTCCACATTGAGTTACAGTGGTGGCCTGGGGAAAGAATTTCTATTTATTGCACATTTGATAAGAGGTCATTTTGAGGAAGGAATCTCTGACCAAAAATATTAGCTCTCAGCAAATACAGTCATGCACTACATAATGACATTTTGATCAATGATGGACCACATATACAACAGTGGTCCCATAAGATTAGTACCATATAGCCCAGGTGTGTAGTACGCTATACCATTAGATTTGTGTAGGTACTGTAGGGGAGGAAGAAATTTTCCTCTACCCTTGCAGGTTCTTCTGGCTGGTCTAAGAATTAAATTGACATGAAACAGATTAACAGGAGAAAAACAAACAAAAGTTTAGTAACGTGTGTAGGTGAGAGAAAGCCAGGAAAACTGAGTAACTCGCCAAAATGGCTGAGGCTCTCACCTTAAATACCATCCTCTGATAAAGACAAAGAACATGTTGGGGGTGGGGAGAGTCAGGGACTTCAAAGGGAAGGAAGGCAATTCACAGGTAGGTAAAAAGGAGCAAATGTTTGGAAAACAAGTATTTGGCCACACAGAAACACAAGAACACAGAGGGGAGTCCAACAAACAGGCTTTTCTAAGTTCCTCCCTGTCTACCACCTAGTTCATGTTGTGCTAAGGTGGTAGCTTGCTTCCCGAGACAGGTTTTTTTATCTGAATTCTTTTAGGCAGTTAAGGGCAAAGTAACAAGAAAAACTTTCTGAGTCTTTTATTTCTTAAAAATAATCAGCCTAAAATAATCCTTATGTTAAAGAGACACATTTTGGGGTGGCAAATTTTATTCCCCTTGAGTATACTCTGTGATGTTTCCACAACAAAATCACCTAACAACACATTTCTTAGAACATATCTCCATCTTTAAGCGATGCATGGCTGTATTTGCTCAATTATTTAGTTTTTCATTGAAAAGGATATGAGGGGATGAATTAATTTATTTTACCCATCAGGAAATCAAGCCATTGCCAAATATTTATGCAACTACTAGTGTAGACCAAGCATTCTGCTAGGAGCTGTGAGACAATAAGAGACAAGTCAAAGGAAATGCCCACTTTGGGGAAACATATGGCTTTAGGCAGGGAGAAGACTAGCAGATATGATCAAGTGAATCAACACTGCAACGCAGTCTCGAATTGTGAGGAACATGCTACTTCCTCGAGGAGTCAAGAAAATGGCAAGCTCACTATGGAATCTAGCAGTCACAGATGCCTCTTTGGATTATCTCTGGCCCTTCCTCTCACTGCCCGCTGTCTCTGGAGTGCACTTCCTCCACTCCCTGCCTGTTGGAATTCTATTCACCCTTCAAAATCTGGAGAAAATAACATTCCTCTGTGTTGCCTTCCTACCACCCCAACGTCAGAACTAGCGCCTTTTCCTTCATGCTCTTTTTTTTTTTTTTTTTTAAAGATTTTATTTATTCAGTTTTTTCCCCCCAAAGCCCCAGTAGATAGTTGTATGTCATAGGTTCACATCCTTCTAGTTGCTGTACGTGGGACTCGGCCTCGCGTTGGACGGAGAAGTGGTGCCTCGGGGCGCTCCCGGGATCCGAACCCGGGCCGTCAGCATCAGAGCGCGCGCACTTAACCGCTAAGCCACGGAGCCGGCCCCCTTCATGCTCTTAATGCAGTGTGTACATAAGACATATCTCTGTCTTAACACTTGACAAAGAATATTGTAATTATTTATTTTCGAGTCTGACTTCCCCTCCAGAGTAACAGATATTCTAAAGAAGGCATCATGTCTTATTCATCTTTTGCATCGCCAATACCTTGCCAGGGGCTTAGCAATAGAAACCCCTCATTGAGGGTTTGATGGCTAAATTAATCAGAGAATGAATCATAGAATCTGAGTTGATAGGACTCTCTAAGGCATTTGATTCCACCCTCTACATGATCTATTAATCTCCTACTTACAATATCTCCAAAAAGTCATCATATAGACTCTACTGAACAAAGCAATTATCAGAGCTCGAAACACTGGCAAGGACTTATACTGAGCTAAAATTTGCCTCCATATAACATCTTCAGTTCCCCCACTGGCCACAATTCTAATCCTTCTGTCCGCAATGATCCTTCAGATGTTTAAAGGCAGATGTTTATAGTGCTGTATCAGGCCCTTAGAGTAAGAGTCAGTACAGATATCCTGCTTTGCAAAGTGAGCCCAAGGCAGTTCATTTCCTTGCCCAAGGCCTCCGCAGTTAGTTCACAGGGAACCAGGTCCCTGGCTGGGTTTCCCTCTGACTGGGATAATAGTTGCAATAGATGCATTTCTTCTTACTGATCTAGCCCAGTGCTTTCAATCAGCAGCATGTACCTGAAACTACAACATCCTAGTCAAGGAAATATACAACACTAGTTCTTGCTATACCAGGAGCCTGGACACCATGGCAGGATGTGCACTGACTAGCCTCACTCCAGAGAAGTTACATCTCCCCCTGCTGACATGCTCTTTAGTTTCAGTGTGGTCATGCTGGAGAAATTGCCCCACCCTCCTTCTCAGCCAAGCTGTCGGAAATGGCTCCTCACTCTCCCCTAACAAAAGGAAACTGTTTTGTTTCCTGGTGTCCTGCTGAGAGCATGAATGTCTTGCTATAATCTAACCTGTCTTTATATAGAGCCGGCATGCTGCCGCACACAGCTGCAAAGGTCACACTTATACGTGCAATTCCCCACTCTGTTCCTAGAGTCATTTTCCCCATAAAAGTGGATATTCTTCCTTGAATATCTACTATGTCCCACAAAAATGAATAGCATTATATCCCATTTTACAAATGAGGAAACTGAAGCCCAAAGAGGTATTTTCCTATGCACCAAACCGATTCATGATAGAGCAGGGATCTGAGGCAGAGGTGTCTGGTCCCAACACTCACACTTACTTCATACAGTCAGCTGCCTCTCTAAATGTAGACTCACTTTCCTCCTCTAGGACCCAGGGTGGGGGACATGATATAAGACTGTTGATTCTGTGGTGTCCATCCGGCTCTAGAGCATGACCTCCCCAAAGCTCTTGCTGAGTAAATCAGATCCAGTCACTACAGGGAAGCAACCAGCCCCACAACACGTTTACGTGACACCTGAAAAAAGTGAGCCTTTTCCTTTTATTCAAAAAAGATTTATTACGCGTCAATTACTTTATGTTCCAAGTGGTGCCCTAGACACTGAGGCCACAGCAGAGAACAACGCAGATGAAGTCTCTATAGCTGAGCTACTTCCCTCAGGTGCCCAATCCTAAAAACACAAAAGATGTATGCCCAGTTTTGTGGAGAGAGTTCATCTGTGAAACAAGAAAATAGCAAATGTTCAGAAAAACAGTGTCTTTTGGGGGCACTTCTCGCATTTACTCTGTGACCCACGTGCTTTAAACACTTATTAACTTGGGGAGATAAAATTGTCACAAACACATATTAGGGAATAACATCTAAAATCCCACGATTCAGTGTTAAACGTGTATGTATTGACCAAAATGCTATAGGAATTAAAAGAACCAGAGGATCGTTGATGGGAAAGGCAGAAGAGGAAACCAATTTGGGGAAGTGTTTTTCTAGTGAAAAAAACTTGTACTTATTGAGCCTTTTCTATGTGCCAGGAACAGTTCTACACCAATTGACATGTGTCAACGCACTTGATTCTCACAAAACACAGCAAGGAAACTACTCACTATTTTCTCCATTTTTATGCTGCACAGAGGGGTTAAATCACTTGCCCAAGATCACACAGTAGTAACTGACAGAGCTGAGCTTTAACCTAAGGAATCTGGTCCAGAGCCTGGTTGCTTAACCAAGACACTATAGGGCCTCTCAGCATCCTTCCAAGTCTGTGTTGACCCATGGCCTGGGGCCAGATAACCCTACGCCTGTAACAATGGTGACAGTGCCACGTTCCCCAGAGGTGAAGCAGTATCTGACGGAGAGAAGAGGGATGGTTTTCTGTGCCTCCCTCAGGGGCAGCACCCTCTCTCTTCCACTGGTGACCATGCACTGGCAGGAGGTGGGAGGAGGGCGGACAGCACAGCTGCGGCTGAGACTGTAGCTTCTGGCAGAGTGGCTGAAGTTGGACCCTTTGGTGGACAGAGTTTTGCATTCGGGACTGAGCTGCTGCCTTCAGCCTCCCTTCACTAACCTGTGAATGGAACAGAGCCGCATACCAGGAAAGGATCGCCTTGTCAAACACGTTTGGTACCAGCTCCAAGTGAAAGAGTGGGAACATCACAAGCACAGGGTTGAACTAGTGACCTGAACATTTCTCTTATCACATTCACAACACCGGAGAGCAGCTATGCAGGATTCAAACAGAGCAAATTTCTTAATCTTCCAGATTCTTTGTCCTGGTTTGCTAGAGCAGGCAAGGATGGGGTGGGGCTTTCACCTGTACACAAAAAGCTCTGCTTCATCTCCACGCAGGGCAACATGGCCAAGCAAGTTGCAATTGTGGGGGCTGGGGTCTGTGGCCTGGCCTGCATCAAGTGCTGTCTGGAGGAAGGCCTGGAGCCCACCTGCTTCGAGAGGAGCGACGACCTCGGGGGGCTGTGGAGATTCACCGTAAGTGGGGTTTCAACAGCTTTGCCATGCGTCTGTTGGAAAGGGCTTGACCAGCGCTGAAACAGATTGAATTTCTTCCACAAGGGCTGGCTGCTTGGGGAGGGGCTAGAAATGTCTGCTACACAGGATGCCAGGAAAGGACATCGAAATTGATAGAAGAAAGAAGCAGGGCACAACGTGAGCTTGGGCAGGAGGTCGGCAGCCGCCTTACACACTTTATCCAGAGCCGAGAGGAAGAAAGATGCCCGCAAAGGGGCGGGAGAGGATGCAGTGGCTGGGACAGGCCGGGAAAGCCCAGGACAAGGGGAGTGGGGTCCGAAGCCCAGGCCAGAGACGCAGTATTTGGGGCAAAGGCGTAAACGCAGTGCAGGCACTTCAGCCTCACCTGCAAGGCTGAGCTTCCTGTACCGCGTCCTTGTCCAGCCCTGCTCTACCTGAAGTAAAACGACACAGGGCTCAGCCTAGGGTGAGTCCTGTCCTCGAGGTCCTGCTGTCCCGGCACTCCCCATCCACGCCAAGAACAATCAGAAGTAGAGAATGGAGCTTTGGAGCCTTGTTTGTTCCCTGAGCTAAGGAGAAGTAATATTCTCAAATCTCAGCAGGACTCCAGCCTGGATTGGAAGGGGGAGAGGGGTGAGGAATGAGGAAAGGCAAGTATACAGCCCACCCTCGGCTGGTCTGGGGCCCAGGGGGATCACAGGGGTCCTGCCTGAGGCCGTTGAACCCTGAAGCAAGGCATGAAAAGTGTTCAGTGAGCTCCACGGCTCAGCCCGGGAAGGATTTGCATCAGATCTCCCCAAAGCTCCTATTTTCCCTCCTTCTCTGGAGGGCAAGCACATTTTGCATGAGCTTAAATGTGCTAAGGAGAAAGCTGTCAGGAATACTGAAAAGGAGCAAGATCTCAGATATTCTGGCCTTAGATCCCCTAAGGGGCTGAGAGAAAGCATTCCCCCGTTCCCCCATTACAGAAGGGTGGAACTTGGAACTAGAATAAAGTTAATTATTTTCTAACTCACTGAGCAAAGTTCCGGAGAGGTCAAAGATGCTAGTTCAGTCACAGTCCTCCCAGCATAGGCCATCTTGGCTCACATAAAGAACTGCATATCTTGAAAATGTGTCCAACCATCAAATGTGACCATCAATGCATAGAGACCTCCCCAAGGGGACTGGGGAAAGGGCACATCTGTTCCCAAGACTCAAACTGTATAGTTTCAATAGGATAGTAGAAACCTGACACCCATGCCCATTGAAGACATTGCTAATCAAACATGATACCCTTCTCCTGATGAGCCTCAGAATCCTTCTTAACACAATAATCTAAACAAGCGCTATTAATCCATCAGAGTTGAGAGTTGGTTCACAAGATGAAACAGCTCAAATAGAGGGGTAACTAGCAGAGTTATTGGGTTAAAGTAATCTCAGTCAAAGCAAAAAGTGATTGCAGAGACCTTGGGATACTAGACAAAAACACACCTTATATAGGTCATGGTCACCTAGTTATTAACACAAAAAAATCATTGATCTAAGAATCAAGAGAAAAGAGTTCTAGATCCAGCTGTGCCCCACTGGCTGTGTGACTTGGGCAGGTCAAACGCCTATGCACAAAGCACTGTGGGGGGACACAAAAATGAACAGGATTCACCCTACCTTCAGGGAGCTGTGAGGCCGATGGTAAAAGTGCAGGATCTTACAAGTCAGAAACAGTGCTGTGGAGTGAAAATGAGGTGGGGATTACATCCACTTGAGGAAAGCCAAGGAAGGCTTCACGGAAGAGGTGGCACGTGGTGGACTTTGAAGGATTTCAATAGGCAGAAGAGATTCAGTGGGAGATACCAGAGAGGGAGCCAGTACGGAAAAAGTACTGGGCGTGCTTGGAAAATAAAATAGCTTACTGGTGTATGTGGTACTTGTAAGAGAAATAATGGGAGAGGAGGAGCGTGGCTGAATGTTTGAGCAGGGGATTCATACGCGATTTAGAAAGCCATGGATAGGGCCGGCCCCCTGGCTTAGCGGTTAAGTGCGCGCGCTCCGCTACTGGCGGCCTGGGTTCAGATCCCGGGCATGCCCTGAGCACCGCTTCTCCGGCCATGCTGAGGCCGCGTCCCACATACAGCAACTAGAAGGATGTGCAACTACGACATACAACTATCTACCGGGGCTTTAGGGGGGGAAAAAAAAAAAGGAGGATTGGCAATAGATGTTAGCTCAGAGCCGGTCTTCCTCAGCAAAAAGAGAGGAGGATTAGCATGGATGTTAGCTCAGGGCTGATCTTCCTCCCAAAAAAAAGAAAGCGATGGATAATGAGGAGCAAAATGAAGAAGATGTCTTGTTGTTGTTGTTATGTTTGTTTTGTTTGCATGATGGGAAGACCCACATATGTTTTTAAGTAAAGAGAAAATATCTGGGTAGTGGGAAATGATTGCATACGTAAGCCCAAATTGGGAAGAGATCCTGGCAGAAAAAGGAAGCTGTGGAATTGTAGGCCCAAGTGGAAGCATTCACCTTGGAAAGGTGAGGAGAGACACCTTCCTCAGAGACTGGAGGGGAAGGAAAGGTGAACATGGAGACAAATTTTGAGGTGCAGGGGAAAGAAGACACAGGAACATGCACATCAGAGGGCTCAATTCTTTCAGGAAAATATGGTGTCTGTGGAGGGCAAAGAAAGAGTGGGGGTGGTGAACGGAGGTGGAGAATTAAGAAAAATAGAGGCCATGAAAAAATACTGTGAGTCATGTGATAGGACACCAAAAGGATGAGAAAGAGGGTGATCCAGCAGTAGCCCAAGTAAGTTGGTGCCCAGTTAACAAGTCATTCCAGCCCCATTACCTCCCATTATAAAATGAGAACAGGAAGCAGTTTGGAAAGTAGATAAAAGCTGAATTACTAGGGGCTAGGAAGCGAGAAAAACCAGCCTGCCTTCACTCAGCAGCCCTCTCTCGACACAGAGGCTTCCTTAGGCACCTCTGGACTACCTTGAGATTCCTCTAAAGCCTGATTGAAAATCCCTAAACTAGGGGAACTTGAAGGGGCCTTCCAGGTCTAACATGCTATGAGTCTCCTGGGTCTTTCTAGAGACATCCTGTCCCCCTCTTACCCCAACACACACACACACACACACATTCCACAAAAGGTTGGTTAGAGGTGTCAGTAACACTACAGGTGGATCACCTCGATTGTAAAATAATGTTGAAGAAATAAAATGTGAGGAACTGTCCTGTTACTCGCTATGACGCATAAAGAATTTCAGTACAGGAAGGGACGAGGATAGATCGCCTTCATGGAGGGCCACAATGACGTCGTCTAGAGATAAGGATACCACACTGGGAGAAACTAACCCAGCTTCCTCCTTCACATCCCTGGAACATACTCCAGGGCTTAATAACCCTCCCTGGAATGGTGTCCCTCCATATGTGCATCAAGGTCTTTTCCTCTGCACATGCATCCTTTCATTTATTCAACAAATATTTATTGAGCACATACTGTGTGCCTTATGGGCCACATATTTTTCAGATTCACTGGGGGCGACATGAAGTGTAATACTTTACGCCTTAAATCACTGAGGAATTGTTCCCCAGCTATTTCTTCCTTAGGCTTGATTCCTACAATCTTTCTTTAAGTCTTATTTCTAAAAATTCAGTGATCTTTGTAGGTTTCCTTTTATTCATACAGTCAACAAACATTTATTGAATTCCTATTATCTTTGGGGGGGGTACACCTGACAGGCCCCTATCCTTTTGGGGGTTCCTCAAATTTCCTCTGAGGTTTCCACAGCTCTCCTATGCTGTAGGTCCAAGAACTAGACACTGTCCACCAATGAGAGTCTGACTCTCATTAGGGAGAGGAGGTGACCAACTAAAATGGGTTCTGGCTGCTCAAAGGAGAGGAGAAGAGAAAGGAAATAATAAAAGAGGTGTGAATGTCATGTGTGGAGAGGCTGTCTCCATTCAGGAGTGACTTTTTATCATTTTACATCTATTTTTAAAATGGGAAAAGAGAAACCTCTAACCTGACAGAGCTTTCTTCCCATTGCCTATAATCCTCTCTGAAGCACACAAAGTTTGAGAAAGTAAATCTCCATGGTAAGTGTAGAAGAATAATATGAATAACAGTTAACATTTATTGAGAACTTACCAGACACTGTTCTAAATGCATTATAACTATCATATCAGTTTATTCTAGGGGATATGTACTAATATTATTCTTAGTTATAGCTGAGGAAACTGGGACACAGAGAGGTTAAGAAAATTCCCAAAGTCACCCAGCTAAAAACGTAGAGCTTGAATATGAACCCAGATGGTGTGACTCCGGGGTCTATGCTGTCAAGAACTACACTCCGTGCATTTCCAGAGCCTGTTTCACAGCTGAGGAAGGAGGGCAGGCAAGTCCTGGACTGTTCATGGAATCCCACCAGGTGTCCTAGCGGAGAGCAGTGATTTTCTCATTGTATTGCAGGCCCAAAGTGGATCAGGAAGCCAGAAACCCCTCCATTCCTGCTCTTATTCATTTCCCTCTCTCCATAGTCCATCCTTCCTCCCCATCACTCATTTTTCCCTTCAAGACAAAGGAAAAAAATCTTTCCCCTAAGTGGTCCATCGATTCTCAGGAGGCATGTGCTTCCGCACTCAGAGTGCCAGGGCGATTGGCAGACCCACACAGAGACTGCCAAGAGTGCCTGCAGCTGGGGGTCCCAGCAAGGCCTGGGAATCACTGGAGCAGGTTGCTTATTCACTGAGGCAAACTCGGGAGAGGAGGGCTCAGGACCGCAAACACCATTCAGAGGTGGCCTGGACCCGAACTCTCCGAATATATGCTAAACACGACAGACCTTGTATTTTTCCAGGAGAACAACCAGTGGGAGGAAAGGCAAACAAGAGCAAAAAGATGGTCTTGGATTCCACCCTAAGGGCTGTTTCCACTCTAAACTTGAGTTTCTCCTCGGCTAACACCTGTGGTACATTATTGCACAACGGCCTTCAATGTTTGACAAAACAGAGTATTGT